GGGTCAGCAGGTGGTGTGGTGGTTAGGGCACAGGCTCCATATGGCCGACACCATGGTTTAAGCCCTGAAACCACTGGCAACCTGAAAAACACATTAAACAAGTGTGTGCGTGCGTGTGCGCTCAAAATCCCAAGAAGAGACTTGAGGAGAAGGGATTATGGCAACATGGCCATCTACCCTGGGGGTAGTTTCTCACTTTCCCTTTCTCTCTGGCGAGTGCACATCCCTAAGGCAAAAAATGTTTTAAAAATTTTATTTATTTATTATTATTAGCTTTCAGATTTGCTACAGGACACGTGCACTCACCAGAGAGAGGCAGAGAGAGAGAGGAAAAGTGAGAAAGGTAGCCGCCAGGTCCGGGGTTCAAACTGTGGTTAGCCATGTGGGAGTCCAGCACCTTAATCACTACACCACCTGCTGGCTCCAAGTTGAAGTAGCTTAAAAAATGAAAATAAAAAGGAGGAGGCCCTCTACCGGATGACTTACTTGCTGAGCTTGCTATATTATCAAACAGAAGTGTGTTCCCTGGGGGAGAGCCGGGTATTGGGGAGACTAGAGAAGGGAAGTTGAGCACTGAGCACGGGGTGTCAGGAGAGCTTGGTGTATGAGTGCTCACAGGGCAGGTGATGGAGCTCGAGTAGTTGGAGCTAACGCTGGAGCTCTGCGGGCATCTGCCCCAGTTGTAAGGGTTTGTACTTTATCTTTCAGGCCAAGGACCCTGAAACTTTACAAGTATAGTGTATCTGTTGCTTATGTAGCCACAGAAAACAGATACAAAATATATGCTTGTGGTCAAATGTTGCAAATGGTTTTTTCCAAATTTATTAACTTTGTTGTTTTCCCATGTAAGTTTTACAGTGTTATGTTATCAAATCTGTCAAACTAAAATAAATACACAGATATAGGAAACGCTTAAAACCTTGCTACTGAGAAGCTGTGAGCCCGGACCAGGAGTTGCAGGTCCCTGGGGAAGCTGTTGGAAATGCAGAGCTCTCCTGGCCCAGACTTCCTGCTGCAGGTCACCAGGCTCCCTGGCGCCCCGCACACGGAACGCCCACATGCCTGCTCTGCTCTCTGTACCTGAGATGATGTTGCACTGAACTACCAGGAAGCCTGGACCGAATTAACATATTTAAATACCACAGGGAAAATTTGAAACCTAGCCCCCCA